GTAGTTTATAGTACCGTGTTTGAATCACGCGAGCAGAACTTTTATGAAGATATAAATCATTTTTTTTCTAGTGAAGTGGTAAGCAGTTGAGATTTTTGAGACTCCGATCTTTTGAGTACAGCGAAAAGACGATTAGGGTACATCTTAATCTAAACACAGCACTAGAAACTAGAGAAAAGTCTGCGTCTTTTAAGCTCAGAACGAAGCTTTGGAGTTGATATGATTATCCAAAGGATGAATTGCAAAGTGGCGTCATTTTTTTCTGCCCAACTCGTTAGTCATCAGATCATTGATAAATAGAAGAAGGCAGATCGGTTTTAAGAGTATATTCAAACATGTAGAATCGTCGTATATATATATACGTAGAAAACTAAAGAATGTGAAAAACGAAAGAAGAGTGTTTAAATATCACGAAAGTACAAAAACGAAAGTGCACTTTCTCAAGATTTAAATAGCTGGTCATATACATCAGCAAACGTTCTATCTTTTTGCCATTGGAAGTTTTTTCTTAGTGCGAACCTTAGTTGGAAAATCGCTAGGAAGTATTGGACCGAAAACAATGATGCTATAGGAAAACTGGAATATGTGCAAAACCAGAGTAACCGTTTACAAAAACAAACACATATGCAGAATCTGTGGCAAATTCTCTATCGATTGCTATAAAAAAATTTCTTTTAAAAGTCTTTCGTGACGCAAATGGCAACCATTCTTTGTTAACTAAGCGGTTTTTTTAGCGGTGCCTTCAGTGTAGTGAGGGGGCCCACTATTGTCCAGCTCCAAATTCAATAAAATTTTCATCCATTATCCTTCAACATATAACGCATCTTCCTAGGGGCAGGCAAAGATGCTCAAATTTTCCTGAGCTATGCTGCAGAGTTTCTAAAAACCTCAGTGTTTTACAGGTTTTTTCGTAAGGGTTAGGCCTTGGTTATTGGATTCAGTGGTAGAAGTTTCGGACCAAAGCAACGTTTAAAATCCTTGGTTGCGAAGATTTTCCTATACAATAGGCCTTCGATTCGACTAGTCCAAAAGCCTCGCAAGTTTTATAAGGAGCACTTGTGTGGCTCTTGCTTTCCATCAGGGTCTCCCACCGACTCATATTTCTTATGATACTTTTGGACTAGCAAGCCGAATTTGATGACAATTTTAAAGTTGAGACACGTTCAGGCAGTAATACCTCTTCAATACACCAGGACTAAATCGGAGACTTACAGTGTTACATTCCACAGTATTGTTATAACCGTGATTGTTTTTAGTCTATTCCGTTTTGCATTTTAGTTTGAATTTTAGTCTGGGAAATTCAGGTGTGAACCGTGTGAACTCTGCAGAAGATTAGGGACTTGGCTAGTACTACACAAAACCGAAGAGCCAAGGGGTGGCGGTGGGCCCTAGCAGAGTAGTAACGATCTTTTATCAGGTCTCGTCAAAATCAGCATGTTGAATAACCTATAAAAGAGCCTATGTTGTATTTTTCCACAAAAATTGGTTTTCTCGAAACCTGGTCTCCAGAAGTCCGCCGGCGCTTGGCAAAACATTTTCTACCATCAATGGTAGTTACTCATACGAATTTTAATCGCCTGCAACTCTACGTATATTTGGTTTCACCAATTTATTCAAGGAAGTTGTTTGTTTAGTGTAATGGCTGTTGTACATCTGATCAATTTTTTTGTTCAGTGAAAGACAAATCAATACTGTTCATTGTGACTTCATGAATAAGAGACCGGAAATAACACAAATGATCGAGTAAAGGGGGCGGTCAGATTTTTGTATGTGAACAGATCATATAAAAATTGAACAATAAAATTCTACTATTGACTGAACAGTCCCGACTACCGGGGACTCGGATGAGAATGCAAGCATGCTGTGGTGGTGGTATTGTTGATGCATCGTTTTCGGTATTACTACCTCTTGTAAAGAATTGCAAGCGCACCTCGACTGGTCACTGTTGATTGAAGCAATAAAACTTTGAAAACAATTTCGTTGGTCTAACTTTTCACGTTACTGCAGATATCTTTTTTTAAGTAAAGGAAAAGGCATTTCTTGCTCAAATCATTTCTGAAGAATATGAAATGAATTACCACAAATAGCCCATTTGATTGAATAGATTCACCGTTACTAAACTTTGATCATCGGAAGGATGGGGAAGCCAATACCATTTTAATTATACTTTTACAATAATAATAATTTTTAAAACTATTGAAAAACACAAAATCAATTTTTGTACGAATCGAGATTCGAACAAACGAACGTAGTTTTGTTGAACCTATTACCATGGTGAACGCGAGTTTTATCTCATTACTAAACGTTGTGAAAATAGAAAATATTATTTTGAGCTATAAATAGTAAGAAACGATTTGTTTGGAAGAAAACTACGTTATTTTCAATATTTTCGGGTAAGATAAAATTATTGTACAATGAGAGAACAATGAAAAGTTTCAGATACATATGTCGATTCGATTGAATCTCAGCCGTAGCATCTAAGTTTCTTGGAATATATTTCTCTTTGAGTCTCAAATGATTTTCTTTCTGACATTCTTCGCTCGCTCACTATAGCGGATTAACAACCTTGTGTTTGAAAGTTCGCGTTCTCTTTTAATGTATCAAGTAATATTTTACAAATGATAGTTTTCTAATTTTAACTTGTAATCTGACTTCTTTGACTGCTCTCAGACTGTTTGTAGTGTTTCTTTTCTTTCCCTAAAGAGAAACTATCACCAGTAGAATTTACTTCTATTACGATACAAACAGATCTTTCTACTTGACAAAAATTAATGGAACATGTATTAATTTTCAGTATTGATTTCAAAATCAATATTGATTATTGATTATACAATCAAGACTTGAGCATCTAACATCTTGATTATTCAACTGCTATTCTATTTTTAAAATTTCCTGATTACCACTTTTTGTCGATTGTATAATCCCAAAAGATTTATCAATTAATTTTTCCACAAAGAAAAAGAAATATATGATCAGTAGTAGTTAGTTTTATATTTACAATGGAACAACAGTAAATTTTGAAGAAAGCATCAAGGTAATGTATTTTTTGTTCTTTGCAGTTAGACATGTCTTTTTTCGTCTTGTACAAGAGTTTTGTTCAACAAATACCAAATATGGCTGAACCCTATTCTAAAGTGTTTCTTGTTATATTCAATAGAAGATGATCTTTATCAAACGACTGATCTATTTTTACTTGTCTATAATCAGTCGGAAATATACTATTTCCAAACATGGATCGTATATTTCTGAAGGAATAAGGAAAATAGAAAAAAAGGAGAAGACATCATAAATATCATGATTACTTGCCACTCGTATTTTGTACAGTAAAGAATATTCTAAAAAGAAAAGAAAAGAAAATTTCCCATAAATAATACGACTGCTACAAAAAGAAAAGAATAGTAGAAATTTGTTGTGTGCATCATTTATCAACTGAAGACATTACCCGATTTGGCGTTTTAACTGGTATTCATCGTCGGCAATTGTTGTTTATACATGTATAATAATACACAAAATACGTTTTGTACTCCTTAACAGGAAGATCATTATATGGATGAGCCTTTTTTGTGTGTATCCCAAATCAAAATCTCTCTTTTTTTCTTCTCATTTTTCTCTCTCTCTGTTGTTATGTGAGAAAGATTTTTCAGTATATAAACGATACACAATTGCACAATTCGGTTTACGGGACAAATCCGAGAGAAGAGAGAGAAGACACGATTAAAACAAAGAACACATATTTACGTACACATTAGCTTAACGACTTAACTTTTAATAAAAATTAACAAATATGTGCGACGAAGACGTAGCTGCAATTGTTATCGATAATGGTTCCGGTAAGACATTTCTCAATTGTATTATTAACTTCTGAATAGTTTCCCGTTTATGTAGTCTTTCTTATGCTTCTTCACTCTCATCGAAAACTATAAGTAGGAATCTTTTTCTTCAAAGCGAAATTATTTAATTTCTTCAAAGAAATTTTCTACCAAAAATTGAATCTCATCAAGCAGTTCAGAAAACTAGAGTTAGGCAGCCTAATATCCTCATTAGGAAGAAGACCTCATCTTGTGGCTACCGTTGTTGGTACAGAGCGTTGACAAATCATACTTGTCAGCTTCGAGCAGATCTAAAGACTGATGCTGCTTACGTTCAATCAATGCTTTTTTTGCTAAATAACTCATTTTCATATTTAGGTATGTGTAAAGCCGGTTTCGCTGGAGATGATGCGTAAGTTAATTCCTATACTTTGTGCGTACTCCACTATGTAGTCAAATACTTTTAGTCCACGTTCAGTGTTTCCCAGTGTTGTCGGTCGTCCACGTCATCAAGCCGTTATGGTTGGTATGGGTCAAAAAGATTCGTATGTTGGTGATGAAGCACAAAGTAAACGTGGTATTCTAACATTGAAATATCCAATTGAACATGGTATCATTACCAACTGGGATGATATTGAAAAAATATGGCATCACACATTCTACAATGAACTTCGTGTTGCTCCTGAAGAACATCCAGTTTTGTTAACTGAAGCACCTTTGAATCCAAAGGCCAATCGTGAAAAAATGACACAAATTATGTTTGAAACATTCAATTCACCCGGTATGTTGATTTTAATATTAATTTGCTTGAGCGAATATAATATTAAGTAGTATATCTATGTGTACCTTGAGATGCAGATTTCTTTTTTTCTTTTTTCAGCTATGTACGTTGCAATTCAAGCTGTCTTGTCACTTTATGCTAGTGGTCGTACAACGGGTATCGTGTTGGATTCTGGAGATGGTGTTACACACGATGTCCCAATTTATGAAGTAATTCTAACCTCTCCATCTCATACAAGTATCTATGTAACAACTTCTTTGTCTTAAGGGTTACGCATTACCACATGCCATTCTTCGTTTGGATTTGGCTGGACGTGATTTAACTGATTATTTAATGAAAATTTTGACAGAACGTGGTTACTCGTTTGTCACAACAGCTGAAAGAGAAATTGTTCGTGATATCAAAGAAAAATTGTGCTATGTTGCATTGGATTTTGAACAAGAAATGGCAACAGCTGCATCAACATCATCATTAGAAAAATCATATGAATTGCCCGATGGACAAGTAATCACAATTGGAAACGAACGTTTCCGATGTCCAGAAAGTTTATTTCAACCATCTTTCTTGGGAATGGAAGTTGCTGGTGAGTTTTTTCTGTAAAGAATAAAATCGAGTTGCTTCAATTCATCTCTTAATATATTTAAGGTATTCATGAAACCACCTTCAATTCAATCATGAAATGTGACATTGATATCCGTAAAGATTTATATGCCAATACTGTTTTATCTGGAGGTATGTACCAACATTAATCATATCTCCTAACATTGTTAACTTAGTTGATGTTGTTTGATAGGTACCTCAATGTATCCAGGTATTGCTGATCGTATGCAAAAAGAAATAACAGCCTTAGCACCATCAACAATGAAAATCAAAATTATTGCACCACCTGAACGAAAATACTCAGTATGGATTGGTGGAAGTATTTTAGCATCATTATCAACATTTCAACAAATGTGGATTAGTAAACAAGAATACGATGAAGCAGGTATGGCATAAATACATTTGTTCTTATCTTTCATGTAATAGTCTAACGAGTGTATGTATTTAATTATTTCAGGACCATCAATTGTTCACCGAAAGTGCTTTTAAGACAATTATCATCATCGTCATTATTTTATACAAACAAATTATACGTTCATTTTGCTCTTATTATTACTGTAATGTCGATTATATTAGAATTGCCTGACTTAAAATTCGCTGTTTTTTTTTCTCTTTTCCAGTGATTGTACAACATATGCAAGGTTTTTTATAAAACGATGACAATAAGTCTTTTTTTCTTTTTTTGAACAGAAAATATACAAACCTCGTACATCTAATGTGGAGTATTTTCAAGACAAAGCCTGAATAGTACACAAGCGTTCAACTAGTTAGTCAAGAAAACTTTCTCTATTTTATCTCTAGTATTTTAAAAAGATGAAGTCTCAGAAAAACAAATGTAAAAAATAAAAATCTATAAATAATTGAAATACAAGATCAACAATACCGGTTCATGCCAATTTTCGTTTAACTTCGGTTATATTATGTTGATAAAGTTCTATATCTGGGTGATTTTGTGGCAATATTTCGTGTGCTAGAACTAATGCTTTGTAATAATATTTTAGCGCTCTCTCGTAATCGCCCATATCATCATGAACACCACCTAGATTATTGTACGTACCACCGATATCAGGATGATTATTTGGAAAACATTGCGACTGTATTTTCAAAACGTTTTCAAACATTTTCAGTGCCATTTTAAACTCACCTTTGATCTGATAAACACTTCCAAAACAGTCATAGACCAAAGCAATTGTAGGATGATTAAGAGAATACACTTTTTTATAAATACCTAATGTCTTCTCCAGATTTTCTAAAGCTAAAGTAAATTGACGTTTTTCACACTGAACCATTGCAATATTAATTAAAGTCATTCCCATATTTGATGGTTCCGTTAATTTCTGTTGGATATCGAGTGCTTTGTTGAAATTATCGAGTGCTTTTGTATATTCTTTTCTAAAATGATAAACTAAGCCCATGTTGTTGTACGTATTAGCAACTGATAAATGATCATGAGATAAAGATTTTAGCTGTACCATCAGAGCTTTTCTGTGGTACTTTAGAGCAGTTATACCGTCACTTTTATGTAAGAATAAAGAACCAATATTATTGAGTGTTGTGGCGATAGAAGAATGTACTGGTGAAAAATGAGCAAGTTGAATTTCAAGGATACGCTTATTATTTTCCAATGACAGAGTATAATTACATATATTTCGATAAACTTGTGCGATATTACTATATGTTTGAGTTAAATCAAGATGATTAGGGGGAAGTGTTTTTAACAGTGTATCGAGCGTAATATTAAAGTATTTTAATGCAGCATAATAGTTTCCAGATTGACTATGAATTAAACCAATATTGCCGTATGTATATGCAAAGAGATGGTGAGTTGGAGCCAATAGAGATGTTTTATAGATTGCAATCGCGCGTTCATGTTGACTTATAGCTAATGAATAATCACCTCGACTACAAAATAAGTCACCAATAAAATTATGAAGCTTTCCAGTATCCATATTATCTTTTGGCAAATTTTCAATTAGAGCTCTATAGTACATATCGGATTTTGAATAGTCACCTACTTTGTCCCAGAGCATTCCCACCGTCAAAAAGAGAGTTGGAATATCACCGATTTTATTTTTAATCAATTCTAAAGTATGTTTCAATTGCATCTGTACGTCATTTCCCCATTTTAACTTCACAAGCCATATACCGTTCTGGTTCATTTTAACAGATTCTATACGAAATACACTTCCAATCGATAATAGTATACCCGATTTATTTTCAACTGTAACATTTGCATAGGGTTTGGTTGTAATACTGGTATCAATTTCTATTTCATAAAAAACACTTTCTAATACGTTTGAATAAGACAATTCCTCCAATGCAATCGTTTGGTCAATTCTTGTTAATAAAAATGTATTTATTGATATAAGACCGCCAATATTTTCTTTCTGTCGTTGTAATTCATCAGCATTCATATTCTGCCCATAGTGAATTGCATTCAAGTATTACGAAACAATTCAATTTGATTACATAGTCCTACTGTTGAGAAGACAAATCAAACAAACAAGTAATAATAAATGTTGTACTTTACAAAGAATTGAATAAAATATCCTGCTCTTTTGTTACTGCCTTTTATGATCGTATAATATTCAAACTTTCCAATATACTGTAATAATCTTCTCATTTTTTCGTTGATCTAAAAACTGTCTATGTAACTCGAACAATTGATTATAAATATCAACAATGACAAAACAAAATTTAAATAATATATCAAAATTTTGGGATATTTTCATTAAAGATGTCCATGAAAGTTAACAATATTCATATACTTTTCTTCTAACTTTCAAGTACTAAAGAACTCATATTGTAATTAATCAGTAATGGGTTACACTGTGTATTGGACATCCATCCATTATGCAAGCCACCTTGAGTACGACATGCTTTGTTTAATAGACGATATAAAAATGTATGACGTAGATACCAAGTTATCGCATTTTGTGAACTATAGTCATTTTCAAAATCCGTGATGATATCTAATTCTATTTCATTGTCTTTGTAATAGTGTCGAAGTTGTCGCAATAAAGATTTTCGATTCAACTCTTTTGGAGGCATTTTTAGTAATACATCAATGAGGAATTGAAATGAGGGAAATAACACATTATGTTTAGACAAATCTGTTATTGTTGAATGAATTGTTGACAATGGTATTAGATCATTTAAACATACTTTCACATCATTAGTTAACTGTGGTAATAAACTATCCATTGTTAAATAAATACCAGTAATATGTGGATGATTTTTTAACCATTTTTCGTATTTTGTTTTATTCGAACACCATAAATAGATCGATAATAAATTTGGCAATTCAGCTATACGTAAACATATCTGTTTAATAAACGTACCGGTTACTATAAGAAAGACTTTTTCATCGATAAGACTTTTTATGTACTTGATACACTCATCTACATTATCGAATGTTTTGAAATAGTTGATAATAGGACGTATTTCCATTTCAGTTTCTTGCCAATCACCAGTAATATTTGTATCCAACCATATAACAACATAATCTTCGAATATGAGTTCACCATTAGTAGATTTTGAAGAAGATAGTGATGAATTACCATCAAAAATATCGAATAATTCAATTAATTCAGCGTTGGCTCGAGTCTTCTGAGAAAGAAAATTACCCATTATCAATTAGTAAAGTGTATTTCATATCAAATAGTGATACCACATAGTAATGACGACATATACAACTGAAAAAGACAAGAGTTAATTGTTTCAAATTAAGCACAGCCATATGGGATAAAACTCTGTTCAGTCGACTCATACATATTTCCAAGAAACTGATTAATACAAATGAATTCTCGGAAAATCTTTACATCGGTTATAAGCTGAGTGTTTCATTTATCTACCTGAACAACATCGTTTTCCTCTGGTGGTAAATGACTTTACGATCTTGAGAATAATTTAAAACTTTTAAACGCTGATCATTATTACCACTATATGACTCTATAGTGCGTTACTCTTAATCCAGAAAAAGAATTTTCAGACAAATGAAACAGAAAAATATCCCACCTTATTACCCAACTAAATTTACTAATATCGTTAAGAGTCCGATGATGTCTGTAGCAGACATCTGAAAATGAAAAATATATGTTTGACTCGTTCTATCACACAGACTCAATTTAGCCATTATTTAAGTGACATGGTCTTTCTGGTGAGAGCTAATTAATGGGCTACTGTACAGACGTGTTTCTGTGTAAGCAATCAGCGTTAAACAGTAAATTTTGAGAAAAATTGAATAAAATGCTGTCATACTTCTTCTCAAACCCTTATAAAACACATCATTATCTTTTGCTAACAACAAAAGAATGGAATTTGACCCTCCTGCGGGAGGAAACATCCCGAAAAAGTGTTGTAGAAATCGAAGAGGAAAGCAACTGCAAAGGGCGACAACGTCAGCGTCAGCAACAACACCAAACACCGCTCAGAGACAGAAAGAATAATTCAAACTTGCACCACTCGTGTTACATGGTATTAAATTACCATTCCGTGTGCGACTGAACAAAATCTAAATGAACAAAATGCCGGAAGCTAAAATATCCAATATACAGGCAAGTACGAATGGTACCTTCACACTGTACCTGTTGGTGACAACAATTACAACAAACTGCTGGCAGAACCAGATGATCAATTTGTAATACTACAAAATTTTAAAATATCTATCTCAAAATCTATTCAAAAAGTTCAAGCAGTTGATAAAGAAGCGATCATGAAGACTAATAAATAACGGAGGATAAAATGACTGATTCATTGGAGAACGCCGGTTTCCCGGCTGAAAGCATCGTTCGTTTCCAAAATTTAAAAAAGACGTGACCAGGCACCACCGTAAAGGTTACATTCAAGGACACTGGTAATTGGAATGCGTTCGACAAAGTTGGACTGCAAATTGGCAACATTCATTATCCAGCAGAATATTCAGAACATAAAACAAAACCGATACAATGTACAACATGTCAGAAATTCGGGCAGACAGCTAGATAGTGTAAAACACCAAATGAACTAGTATGTGCAAAAAAAGTGGAGGACATAGAACGAACGATTGTGATAAAGCAGCGACTCAACCCGCCTGCCACAATTGTGAAGGACCACATTTAGTAATGCCGGATCGATGGTCAAAATATAAAGAAGATGAAGATAAAATTAAAAAATCTGTCGGCAAATATTCTTGACAACATCAGGCTAAACAAACACCATTACCATGGCTAATTATCATGATCATGATGCTTTTCCACCGTTGACAGCAAATAAACAACCACAGCATTACAATCAAAATGAATCGAACATCATCAAGAAGATCTTTGAACATCTGTTCGATGTTATTGATAAGAAATTTCAGCAGTTAACCAAACAACTGAAAAAAGAAATTAATTCATCTATACGATATCAACAACAACAAAAACAAGAACTAGAAGTAGAAGACGAAGACAAAGAAACCTATTTAGAAGAATACGAATTCGACGATATTCGTACAACAATACAAGCAGAACAAGAAGAACAAGCAATTGAAGTTGATTCCAACATTGAAGGACATCAGGTAAGATCAACTCCAGCATCATGACCACCGTTTAAGCTGATGAAAGTACCGGTACCAACTCTAGAACTGTTTCAAAACATGCATACGACAATAGTCCAAAATCTTCCACTACCAAACACTTCTACCAAACGAGCAAAAATGAGTCAAAAAGAACTAAAACAATTCAAAACAAATCACAATCTAACCGCTAATCAGCAGAAATCAACAATGTCTAAAACATGAAAATATGTCACATTAATGTAACTTCAGCTAAAAAACACAAAGATGAACTTTATGCTCGTTTTTACCACGGCGGCATCATTTCACTAAACGAAACAAACTTGAAACTAAAACAGACGTTTTCCCTGCCGCACTTCACGATTGTGGAGGAGGAGTCGCATTAACGATTCGGGAAAATATTCGATGCGACGAAATCATTGATAAAACAATAAATAAGAACGAAATACTGGCAGGTCAGATCAAAACAAATGAAGGAAGAAAACTATTGATCGTTTTGATATACGTATCACCAAAAGTAAAACTTAATATGTATTTCTTCGATGAACCTGGAAACATAAGCAAGGACTATTTGATCGTTGGCGATCTGAATGCAGTTCTACTAGAAATGTGCTCGGGAAAAATGAATGCTAAAGAACGTCAGCTTCAAGAATTGTACGAGAAAGAGGTTTACATTTTAGACTAATACGACATATAAAAGGGAAACATCCGAAGAAAAATTTGACTGGATATTAGCAAAGTAGCAAGTCAGTCAACGATTTATTTTGTAACACAAGTTGAAACACACCCATCTCTCGGTATTCTCGGTGGTCATAAACGATTGACCTTTGAATTAAATATTATGCAGATCGTAAACTACGTTCCCCGAAACTCTCATACAATTTCAAATCGGCAAGTCGGCAGGTTTATCGTCAGAGGCTCAACCAGTCACTTTCTACCTGGGATATAACTACACCACTCACAACATCAAATAAAACCGATAATTACAAGGAATTTATAACAGATTGTAACGTTACAGGTTCGAAAGTAGCTATTCCGCTGGCTAAACCTTCGTTGAAATCGCTTGAACCGAGCCTGACAACAAAGACATTAATAGAAAACAAACATAAATGGTATAGACAATGAAAGAAAACGAACTTAGAAGAAGCAAAACATGAGTATTACATCAAAATCTTGCTGTTGAATGCACTTCGCAATGATTATATAGCGAGAATCAAAAAACTCATGTCATCATTAACAACACGGAAAATGAACTCGGCAAAAGTATAGGCTACTATCAAAAAATACCATAATAAACGTACTAAACAAACATATAACGAACACCGTCAAAAGACTAAAAGACACATATAAGAAACGAATCAAAAATATTCCGCTAATAACACTGGAAGAAATTCAAAACTGTTTAAGATATTTAGCAAACACCTCGCCAGGTCCGGATAACGTACATATATCAACATTGATTAAGCACCTAACGAGACTATTTAACGCGAGTATCAATGTCGATCACGTTCCACCGGCTTGGAAGACGGCATTTATTATTTTACTTCAAAAACCGAAGAAAAATAATCAAGAACCGGCCAGCTGCCGACCTATAAGCTTATTAAGCTGTTTAGGAAAAATATTAGAAACAAAGACTAATGCGTAATCTAGAGGAACGGAACAGTCTGGCACAACATCAAGCAGGTTTTTTGATATCTTCTTACTTATAAAGTCTAAAACAATGCCTGGCACAAACTTTCAAAACAACATCATACTGCGGTAATATTTTTTGATATCAAAGCAGCTTTTGATTCAGTGTGGTTCGTCGGCTTGATTTACAAAATCCATGATGTACAGCTGCCGGAGTACATTGTCAAATTCTTTTCCGGATAGTCGAACAGCCTCGATAGTATTAGAAAACATCCTACGAACACCATTTACATTGAAGCGTGGTACTCCGCTTACAAACCATACAGAACGCTTACAACCATACGGAACGCTTACAAACCATACAGAACAAAGGCATTCGGTCAGCATTAGCTGTGCCGGTTTATACGTCCGTTGAATATATACATAAAATCAGCGAAACCAAGAAAATAAAACTTCACTTAGTGAAACTAACTGAAAAAGCATTGATTCGAGAACAACTATACGAAGATATGATTACTGAACGCAGTCTAACTGATATCCTACAAAATCTCTAAAGTAAAAACCTACAGATAACTCTTTTGTACTTTTTATCTTCCTTTTCTTTTCCCGGACAAGACACATGTCATGCACTCTTGTACAGAGCTCTTCAGGCTATTTTTTGAATAAAGTCCTTGTCTCCTCATGATCTCTCTATCTTACCCTATAGTACGAAGGATGAATGTGTATATTCTGTTGCATTTTCTTCAGAAGTTTTGGAAAGAAAGGTCTTACCTGTAGATCAGTTAACTGTTTTGCACGTATCTTCTAAAAGTATTTATTTCTTCCAAGGTGAGCAGAAAGGTTGTATGTCCGTTTATCGTGATGTATTCATAGTTGTTATTTCTCTTCCAATTTTTTTCTTCTTATAAAATTGAAATATGAATAAATTTATAACTGTAAACAAATCAAGGCGAAGTTAAATCAAATGTACTTAAGGTAGCATCATCAAGCGCGTTTCATTTAACAAAAACTCATTTTAAATTTTACTTTATGAGAAAAACATATTACAAAGATTGCAACGACCTAAATAAGAATGTTTATTTTTTCTCTGCAATTTCGAGTGTGTAATATTAAAGATAAAAACCTTCAATAGAAAATAAAATGCGTCATCAGTAACAATCTGTAATGATAAAATGTGAGCTCTAAAATCTGTTAGTGCTGAAAAAAATTAGTATTAACACAATTGCGACCGCATGAGTACTCTGCAAAAATGTGTATGGAACACTTTTTTAGTAATTCGCAATTACCCGAATGCAACAATTAAGATGATGCCGATTTCTCACTTTATGTTTTTTGTAACAGTATAGAGCTTCAGACATCAGATGATTGCTTTGACTGCGTGTTTATGTTTTTACTACTCTTTTTATTTGTTCTGCAAAATATAGAATTTAGCGTTTGGTACAGTAACCGGTACATTAATTTTATATTAATTTTAAAAAAAAAGTACACGTACACAAACAATAGAATCAGCAAACAATAGAATCGGCAAAATGATATGCATGATATTCCTTACTCTTTAAGAAATTTTTGTTGTCTTTTGTTTCCCACTATATTCAGTTTGTCAAATGAAAAAAGATTTATCGCATCCGATAACTTCTGACGAAAGCCGGTAAACAAGATGATCCAATTTCTTGATTTAGGTTCAAGCAATAATTTCTAATATTCTAAGAATACTCCAAGTTCAATTTTGAACTTGTTAAATAAATTCCCAAATCAATATTCACGTAAATAACTGTTATCTCCGTTGCTCAGTGTTGAAAGTTTCAATATAACACTAAAGTTTCTTGCATTTTTTTATATCTAATTCATTAAATTAATAGCGCTATCTAAGTCACCCCATATCTTTATTTTTAATAAACAATAAAAGAAAATAGAGATATTTTACTTGATTTTTATCTAACGGGTGCGGCATAAAGAATGTCATCATTTCTATTTTTCGGATAACTCGGTTGAATTTTATCGTAGAGAGTTGAGCTTAGTCTCAAACGATTCCTCGTTAAATTGTCGACCAGAATATGTAATGTTAAATGAGAAAATTCGGACAAATAATACTGAAAAGCTTCAACGTGACTAAGTTTCCCAGAGGTTTGTCTGTTTGAAATTATTTTATATGATAGTATAAATATTAATGCGGAAACACAGCAGTAGAATTTTGCGAGTACAATCAAGTGCCCTCTTGCTACCAGTGTACAATAAAGTCAGTTTCGAACAACTATTCCGACTGAAAAACTAACTTATTGTATTTCAGCCGAAAATGTCTGAAAGTTGGATTATTTTGCTTCTTTTATTAGAATATGAAAAGGGATTGGAAGTCCGACGATTTATGTGATTTACCATGCATTACTCTTCAACATAAAGCTAAAACAGTTTCAAAGTTGACTTTCTGGTCAACTTATGCAAAGTTTTCTGAATGTCCGAAAACAGCTGTTCCAAAAACGTGATTTGATGCCAAAATCTAAAAAAGGCAACGTTCTTTTACAAGCTAGATTTTCATGGGGAACTTTTTAGTTTACAGGTAAAAGGTAGAGCTTGTTGAGCGCTACAAAATGGCTGATTAGTTTTCTTTATGCCTTGAAGTGCCGACGAATAAAAAGAGAAAAGATGGTTTTTAGGCGGGAAACTTAGTCACGTTGAAGCTTTTCAGTATTATTTGTCCGAATTTTCTCATTTAAACTTTGAAGGGAAGATTTTTACATATTCTGGTCGACAATTTAACGAAGAATCGTTTGAGACTAAGCTCAACTCTCTACGATGAAATCCAACCGAGCTATTCGAAAAATAGAAATGATGACATTCTTTATGCCGCACCCGTTAGTTATAGTAGTAAAATACGTATTCAATAAACAGGTGTTCACAGAAAGTTAGAACAACTTTACATTTATCAACAGACATATTTTAATGTAGAATGCATGCTACAAACCTATGTTGAAACTGTTCTATGAGCCATTGCAGATAAGCGACGACTAAGTGCTGCAGGAGCTGCTCAATCGACTTTTTCCAAACTTGATTTCAAACATAGGTCAAAAGTACAATCAATAGCAAGTTTTTCGACTTAGAGACACGAAACTTTCAGCACAAATACAACTTGAATTAGTCTAGAAAACAGTGCAAGTCTGGACTCTAGAGGTCGTTTTATTATCAGCTACTACTTCACCATTCATTATCTCGTGCGTAATCAGCTCAGTAAGACTCACTTTTTTAGGATAGATACTAGAAGAGTGGAATGATAAAACGGCAAAAGAGAAACTTTGGACTTCCAAGAGGAACGCGAGATACTGAATTTTTAGTGAATTTCGGCATCGACGGAGAGACTCAATCCATATAAAACCTACCACCGTTTGCATCGACCTTTCACGTCA